GGATGTCCGACCGGTTGTCCGAGCGGACAACCCGGACGGTCAGGGGGGTCCCGGACGTCCGATCAGGTAACCTAGAAGCATGGTCATTTCTGGCTTTCTGGTTGATTAGGTAAAAGATGAATGCTTCCCCAAACATAATTGAGCCATGACAATGAGCCTGAATAAGGTCATGTTTTTATTTATTTTCAACCTAGGCTACCAGCCGGGCCATCCGGGTCACCTTGTTTGCCCGGGCGGCCCACTTGTGCAAGGACCAAAGAAGGTCCCAGGGAAGGGGGGGGGGGGGGGGAAACTGAAAAAAAAAATCATGTCATAAATAAAAATAAACTGAAAAACTTTTTCCTCAGGGTCACATCGAAATTCTTTACCAAATTTAAAATAAAAAATAAGTTTAAATAACTGTAAAAAACCAGGAAGATTTTCATGCCCGGCTGATCCTGCCCGGCCGGGCACCCGGGCGTGATGTCCAGGGGGGGCTGACGCCGGGCGTGCAAAAGAAAAAAAAAATATATATATATATCGTCAAATAGAACTGCCCAGTAAACCGTAGGCAGAGAGGGAGAAGAGGACAACAAACGAGGGGCTGTGACAAACTGTTTCGTCGGAGTTTCACCGACTCATATATATATATATATATCGTCAAATAGAACTGCCCAGTAAACCGTAGGCAGAGAGGGAGAAGAGGACAACAAACGAGGGGCTGTGACAAACTGTTTCGTCGGAGTTTCACCGACTCATATATATATATATATATCGTCAAATAGAACTGCCCAGTAAACCGTAGGCAGAGAGGGAGAAGAGGACAACAAACGAGGGGCTGTGACAAACTGTTTCGTCGGAGTTTCACCGACTCATATATATATATATATATCGTCAAATAGAACTGCCCAGTAAACCGTAGGCAGAGAGGGAGAAGAGGACAACAAACGAGGGGCTGTGACAAACTGTTTCGTCGGAGTTTCACCGACTCATATATATATATATATATCGTCAAATAGAACTGCCCAGTAAACCGTAGGCAGAGAGGGAGAAGAGGACAACAAACGAGGGGCTGTGACAAACTGTTTCGTCGGAGTTTCACCGACTCATATATATATATATATATCGTCAAATAGAACTGCCCAGTAAACCGTAGGCAGAGAGGGAGAAGAGGACAACAAACGAGGGGCTGTGACAAACTGTTTCGTCGGAGTTTCACCGACTCATATATATATATATATATCGTCAAATAGAACTGCCCAGTAAACCGTAGGCAGAGAGGGAGAAGAGGACAACAAACGAGGGGCTGTGACAAACTGTTTCGTCGGAGTTTCACCGACTCATATATATATATATATATCGTCAAATAGAACTGCCCAGTAAACCGTAGGCAGAGAGGGAGAAGAGGACAACAAACGAGGGGCTGTGACAAACTGTTTCGTCGGAGTTTCACCGACTCATATATATATATATATATCGTCAAATAGAACTGCCCAGTAAACCGTAGGCAGAGAGGGAGAAGAGGACAACAAACGAGGGGCTGTGACAAACTGTTTCGTCGGAGTTTCACCGACTCATATATATATATATATATCGTCAAATAGAACTGCCCAGTAAACCGTAGGCAGAGAGGGAGAAGAGGACAACAAACGAGGGGCTGTGACAAACTGTTTCGTCGGAGTTTCACCGACTCATATATATATATATATATCGTCAAATAGAACTGCCCAGTAAACCGTAGGCAGAGAGGGAGAAGAGGACAACAAACGAGGGGCTGTGACAAACTGTTTCGTCGGAGTTTCACCGACTCATATATATATATATATATCGTCAAATAGAACTGCCCAGTAAACCGTAGGCAGAGAGGGAGAAGAGGACAACAAACGAGGGGCTGTGACAAACTGTTTCGTCGGAGTTTCACCGACTCATATATATATATATATATCGTCAAATAGAACTGCCCAGTAAACCGTAGGCAGAGAGGGAGAAGAGGACAACAAACGAGGGGCTGTGACAAACTGTTTCGTCGGAGTTTCACCGACTCATATATATATATATATATCGTCAAATAGAACTGCCCAGTAAACCGTAGGCAGAGAGGGAGAAGAGGACAACAAACGAGGGGCTGTGACAAACTGTTTCGTCGGAGTTTCACCGACTCATATATATATATATATATCGTCAAATAGAACTGCCCAGTAAACCGTAGGCAGAGAGGGAGAAGAGGACAACAAACGAGGGGCTGTGACAAACTGTTTCGTCGGAGTTTCACCGACTCATATATATATATATATATCGTCAAATAGAACTGCCCAGTAAACCGTAGGCAGAGAGGGAGAAGAGGACAACAAACGAGGGGCTGTGACAAACTGTTTCGTCGGAGTTTCACCGACTCATATATATATATATATATCGTCAAATAGAACTGCCCAGTAAACCGTAGGCAGAGAGGGAGAAGAGGACAACAAACGAGGGGCTGTGACAAACTGTTTCGTCGGAGTTTCACCGACTCATATATATATATATATATCGTCAAATAGAACTGCCCAGTAAACCGTAGGCAGAGAGGGAGAAGAGGACAACAAACGAGGGGCTGTGACAAACTGTTTCGTCGGAGTTTCACCGACTCATATATATATATATATATCGTCAAATAGAACTGCCCAGTAAACCGTAGGCAGAGAGGGAGAAGAGGACAACAAACGAGGGGCTGTGACAAACTGTTTCGTCGGAGTTTCACCGACTCATATATATATATATATATCGTCAAATAGAACTGCCCAGTAAACCGTAGGCAGAGAGGGAGAAGAGGACAACAA